TTTTCACGCACAGCAGGCAAGATCGGATGGCTGCAGGCCTTTGCAGATTCAACACTGCAGCCCGGGGTGTGCACCAAGCGGATGTCCGCATCTTTCAGGAAGTCCACAAGCCCCTGCTTCTGAGCCAGGTCGTAGCTCTTGGACTCGCGCAGGCGTTGCGCGACATCGCAGTGGATGAAGTTGCACGCACACACACACACACAGAGACACCACGCATTACCACACTCCAGCCTCTTGCGGCTCCGGAGCTGGATCCGGGCGGCGGAGGCGGCGCGCCAAGTCCCTGCAGCTCAGCAGCCCCTCGCCTCCGCAAGGCAGCATCCACCACGAACCATCTTTCCGAAAGCGCACAGCACCTAACATTTCTAACGCTGATGGTGCTGTTATTCATAAGCTCCCAACGATCGGGGACAACGTCTTGCAAGATGCCCTGACCGAGTCGTTCGGAGCACAGGCAACAAACTAGGCGCGCAGTCCCTGCCTGGAGCATGTCCACGGTGAAACGATCGCCTAAAGCACTCTGGGAGAATAGCAAGGCTCGACAGCATGTATTGTAAGGCTGCTTCGCAGTACTGCACTGGCCATGCAACAGTTGGAGAGTCTAGGCCAGTCTGTGCATCGCTTATTGACTTCGAGAAGTCTCTAGAGGTAGAAAGGTTTGGACTCGCCACATGCCACCCAGCTACGTCCTTCGCCTTATTTTCGGCCAACTTCATAGTCCAAGGTATAGCTGAAATAGAAGCTACGTGCTGCCTTATTGTGAGCTTGCCGCATTAATGAGAGATCATTTCTGACCTCTGAAGGAAGTTGAAACCCTACTTGCAGCTGAAGGATCTGGCCTTGAAGGTTCCTGACGATGACGCGGAGAGCGTCCTTGGAGATCCTTCGGGTGCCCGGGCCACCCTGGCAGAGGAGAAGCGGGCAAGAAACAGTCCTTGCTCGCTTTCTTGTTCTCCGGTTGGCTCGCTTCATGAAACCCCGCATTGCACTCCGAATCGATCCCGAGTCTGCATTTCACCTGACAACAAACCGATTGCAAGAAGCAACAAAGGCGGATGGCTCAGCAGGGTGGAAGAAGAGCAAAATCAGCTACTTCCTTCGAGGTCATACGCAAAAATCCCAGCGCGAACTGTCACCTAGACAGAGCTGCGACCGAGCAGACACGAACTGCCTGAAGATGATGCCACAACAATTGCAGGGTTTGGTGTTGGCTTCACCCGCCCTCGAGCCGGTGGCGCCAGCCGGATGTCCGCATGTTCGAGGAAGTCTGCCAGCCCGTTCTTGTCCGCGAGGTCGTACTCCTTCGCCTGCACTGCCGAGCTCCGGTGCCCTCTTTTGCAAGAGATGGTGGGGATGCGGCGCGCCTGCCCTGCTTTGGAGGTGCCTGGATCCGAGTGGTCGCATGAGCCTCTCCTCAGCAGAGCATCGAGCAAAATTGTCCAACATGCCGAAAGGAAATCCTCGCCGCATTTGCTGTTCATGAGCGTCCAGCGGAAGCTTGGTGGTCTCTCCCGTTGTCTCCTGCATGTGAACCTGCGGCTTCGGAGCAAGCAGATCTCAAGAGAGCCGGCACCAAATCATGACTATTCCTTGGTTCCTTGATATGATTAGTGATTAGGGTATGATATACCCGAAACCGTGTTTTGATTATCCAGGCCCCCCAGTTTACATACGAGCCTCTGCCTCTTTTAGAGCCTTGGCAATCGCAGTGCTTTGCGGGTGTTCGAAGTAGCTAATATTATAGGGGCTTTCCGACCCCCGTTATTTTCGACATCGCTAAGGCCTGCTTGAGCCTACAAGTTTGCAACCATCCAACCTTGAGCCAAACGGTTTAACCGCCGATTTAAGCCCAAAGGCCAGAAATCCAGGCGCCCGAGCCAGCATCATGGCAAGAAGCCTCGTGTGGGCATCCAAGCTGTCGTCGTTCACCTGAGCAGAAAAGACATTGGACTGAGAGACTCTTCTGCTGTGGCCCCCGGTCCCCTCCTGATGCACGTGATTCGGGAGGCAGCCCTTGAAGCTCGCCTCTCTCCGGCCCTCGCCTCGGCTCTCCATCCAAGCTCTCGGCAGCTCTCGGCAGCTCTCGGAGCACAGGGAGCTTGGTTCAGGGTGTCACCAGTGCTTTCCCGACTTTGGGGGGCGCGAGCTTCTCGTTGGATTTTGAGGTTACACACACACACACACACACCGGCGCAGAGGCATGCTTCAGGATGCAGGTCTGTGTGCTTGCTGGGCTCCAGGCGATCACCAGCAACTCCTGAAAAGTCCTAGCTCCAGGAGTCGTTGTTTGAGGGTAGGGCATGGCCGCCACATGATCTCATCCCACCTGCAGTGCCTGCTTGGTGACAGCATTGCCTCCCGTGCAAACACCGGCTGCCAGATGATATCAACAAAACAGGCTGAAGAACCTTGGCTCGGCCAAGCAGGCAGACGGCCTCTACGCTCGGCGATTCCCTCGCTGACTTGGTCTGTTTCGGCTGCCTGGCAGGGCTTGCAGACTCAAGCAGGATTGCAGCCTTCCTATGTCCGGTGTTCGACTACCGTGCCCACTGAGGGAATGTGGCTTGTGTGCCAGAAGACCACCGGCAAAGCTGCCGAGACTAACGTCGTCTTGGTCGGAAAGGGAATCTTAACCCCGGGCCCCTAGCTATGCTTGAAGCAAAGCTAAGCTAGCCTCTCGACGTACTGGAATAATACTACAAAAGACTGTAATACACCGCTATATATTGAATATACCATAGTATACCTTGACATAGTGCCATTATTTGCAGTAAGTCTTTCCCTCACAAATCCTCGCCTCAAAGCTCCAAAGCTCGAATGACTTCGAAACACGGGAATCCAAACACGCGGCCCTACAGCGCTCAAGTCGGGTACACTTGGCAACAGTACCTAGATCCCAAACTACTAAGACAACGCGGCTTCATGGGTAAGTTTAAACCACTAGCTTCAGAGACTAACCTCATGTCTTGGCGGTCGGACCCCCTGTCAATCGTCGATATAACGAACCGTACTTTGTTTGGATCGACGAACTTACGTCTTGCACGCCGCACAAGGAGAAGCCTATCACTGACTGGTATACTTCTCCTTCAATCCAGCACCTGTTGCATCTATCTAGCTCATCTGGGAGATCTTCTGCACTACCTAATACGGTATTAGACAATGGCCCAATTCAACATCTCCGTCCATGATGTGGAAACCTGCAGACCCCTTGGTGAGTGTTCGCTGCCTACTCTCTGCACTCCATGGAACCCAACCACATCCTCGCAACTGTGAAGCGATTCGACCGTACGCTTCCTTCAGGTTGTGTTTTGACATCGAGAAAGTAACAGTAAGGTTTGCAACATTGGAAAACGGCAAAATTCTCAAAGAGTGCTGGGCATCTCTCTCTCCGCTTTGACCTTCCAGCATGTGCCCAGCCGGGGGCCTCTCCAGGCTTGCTGGGGCGACCCGGAAAGCAGCGCGCGACGGCCCGGCCCAGCAGGCCCATGCCCGTGCCCCCGCGATCGGGAGCGTCCCGACTCCGGAGGCGGAGGAGGAGCTTCCGGCAGCTCAGCAGGCCTTCGCCTCGCTGCTGCTTTCAACTCGCAAGAGCTCAGGGTCAACAAATAAGTCTTGTAACTGGAGCTTTCGGAGTCTCTAAATCACTCAAGAATCCTTGTTGGCAAGACCTCGCTGAGTGCCCTGCCATCGATGGGAACTTCTTGCAAAAGGCCCTGGGCTCGGTGTGATATAGTTTTGCAAATGAAATCACAGGCTTCAACCAAAAGACCGATTGCTGTGCCAATCTGCTCCGGCCTGAAGTTCCTCCTCTGTGATACCGTTGCCTTGCACACAGCTGCTTCCAGCAGCTGCCGTACTTTGCAAGGCGCCCATGCTCGCGCGCCAGCCTCGAAGGCTGTCGACGATGTCGCAGAACGTCTCTGCAGACACTCTTTCCAGCTCCTCCCGAACCTGGCGAGCGGGAATGTTAGGAATGCAGGCTGAAAGCAGCTCCTCAGTGGGATAAGGCCCGCGGTGCTATGATACGCGAGCACCGGCTGGTTTGGAGTCCGAGCCTATGCTTCCTAAGCCCATATCTGGACACCACCTTCAGACACCTGGATCTGACTGTGCACTTTGATTCTGTTGGCATCGTCACTCCTGGTGTGTCCAGATCTGCAAGGAGTGTTTTTGTCTCTTGCCTGCTGTCGCTCCGCGCGAGAAGCTTGAACTCGAAAAGGCTCTTGCCAGCTTGCCTTCATTCCACTGTAGCTACTGTTTCGGCCTCGGCTTGAGGGATTCCCGATTTGTGTTGGGCGTACATTCTTGCATTTTCATGCAAAAAAGAGAGCATCGCCTGCTTTTCTGGCAAACCGCCGCTCTCGTCAGACGGTACTTTTGCTCTGCGACCCCTGAAGGGCAGCCATTCACGCAGTCGCGTGCAATCCTGCACACTGCGGCCTTCGTCAATCCTCAACCTCAGCCCTCCAAACCTGACAACGAGACCCAACATTCCATCGGAACGCCGAAGCCGAACAGAAGCTCACAACGTCCACAGCGCCTGCAGAGGAACCCGAAAAAAGGCCATGATGACCCCGACGGAAGAGGACGACTCCAAAATCTAATTCCTAATCCCTCAAAGCCCTAAGCCCATGGAAGAGAAAACCGCAGAACGGCCCCTCCGGGCCTCAGTCGCCATCCGAGCCCTGGCCTTCGGCCTGGCAGCTTTTGGGGGGCAGGCCGTCTTCGGGAAGAGAGGATCGCATGTCGATTTATAGAGGTTGAGGTGGTGGTGCTTTGCCTGGGTTCCTTGATGCTCCGTCGGTGAACCTGCAAAGGGTTTTTTCGTGGAGATTCGGTATGAAGCCTCCGACCCAAAGCTTTGACACTATGTGCTGGACCTAATGAAAGCCCGCTCAGCCGAACCCCCGACAATCCCACTTGGATTCCCTGCGTGTACGCCTCAATGTATGCGCACCAC